TTGGTTGATTATACTGCAGCAATATATAAAAATTTGCACTATGAATATGCATAATATGTATTTGCAACAAGCAGTTCTTGGTCTTGTTGTTGTTGCATATCAGAGACAGAAAAAAGACCCCTGCTGTCATCATGTTATTCATGCTCTGATTAATATTCTCTGAATACTGTGCCACAAACACACCTTCCACTTTGCACACCAGCTACTTTTTAGGAAGTATGCAAGCACAATTTTTATTGTTTGGTATTAAAAAAATCTGACACTTTTTACACTGTAAGAGGTCTGCTGCTTTTCACACTGCACCACACTTAAAGGAAGCAAATGCATACTTTAGGATCCTGTTAACGACTGAGAGATTGTGTTTTATATGATGAATAAGTTATAAGTGTTTACTGAATCCATATGTTTAGCTAAGGAGCCTTTCTCTATCTGAGACGAGGTGTTGAGGCGAGTCCAGAGAGAAGGGTATCGGGTGAAGCTAACTGGCATTAATAGCTAGAGGACTACTCCATGTCAACCAGAGACCGGCATCCTATTGTTGTTTGGATGACTTCCAGTGGCACGGTCGCCGCACTGCCACACTGCCTTGTTGATGTGACCTCTATCTTTGTGTGTGCGTGTGTGTACTAACATTACAGTGAAAGCAGAGACAGGTTACTGAAAGCAGTGACGCAATCTCCCTGAAGGGGAACACCAATGGAGATAAGGAGAAAATACAAGAATGCTCACCCCGTCTCTCTCTGTCTATCTCTTACGAACACACATATGGTATGCACAAAAAACACACCTTTCTATTAAAGGTCCAGTGTGTAAAATTTAGGGGTATTTAGGTGAGGATTGCAGATTGCAACCAGCTCTCCTGGTTATAATTCCTTCAGTGTTCATTGCTAAGGAGGTTTTTACTGAGAGCCGAATTATGCGCAGAGGTCTTTTCCTCTCCAAAACAAACAGACCAGGGGCCTCATTTATAAAATGATGCGAAGGATACTGAAAATGTATGTATGGGCAAAAGCCAAAAATTGTGTGTGCCAAAAATATTCAACAAGGCAGGACAAGGACGAAAGTTATGGCAGCGAATTTACGAGTGGGGTAGGCGGGAGGGGTCGTGGATGGTTCCAACAGACAATGACTTTCACCAAGAGAGTGGTGTTCGCGTCCCCTAAGATTCTAAAGCCAAACCATGTTCTTTTTTCATCAACCTAACCATTTGTGTTTGTCGTTGAAGGAAACAAAGTCAATTCGTGTTGTTGCACCGATGTAGTGCATTTATTCTGAAAGAGACTGTATGTAAATGTTAAATTTTCTGTGGAAACAGAAGTGTATTTTGAAAGAAGAGCAGGCAGAACTTGACATGGTGTCCCAGAATGTCAACAACCAAGGGTACCTTGCACGTCATATGTGGACGTGGAAAGTCCACGACCAAATGTCAATATGTGACAAGGTTGCGGTAAGAATGTGTTGGGTAAAAACACTGGATCAAGCAGTGTCACATTACAAATAAGTGTTTCTCCTACCCTGTTTGGCATGTTGCAGCCAGCCCATTTGCCTCACACCTGCAAATGTGTGCTCGCCTTTTTCTCTGATAACTTTAATTAATAACTGCAGAAGTCTGCTCCTCTCTAAAACAAACGGACCAGTAAACCAGTAAAAACACTATAAAAAGAAGTTTCGCATTACAAATTGGTGATTGTCTGACCTTATACCTTTTTTCTTTGATAACTTAAGATCCAGATGTTTAGGAGGTTTGGACCAGGAGCTGAATTATTCAAAACAAATGGGCCTGGTGATTAAAATCTGGTAAAAACGCTGAATAAAGCAGTTTCTTGTGAAAAATATCTGTGTTTTCCTGAAGCTCTTATTGTGGAGGGGCTGCTATCTATGGAGGCTGACCCGAAAGACTGAATGAATTTCCCTTTCTAGAGCCAGTGTTTGGTTTGTCCACTCTGGACTACTGTAAAAACATTGCCGTGCAAAATGGCGATCTCCACTCCCTTTGTAGATATAAACCACTCATTCTAAGGTAACAAAAACATGACGATTCTTAATTTCAGGTGATTATAAACTAAAGAAAACATACTTATTATGTTCAATTTCTTCTCATATATCCCCCTCAATCCTACACACTGGACCTTTAACAAGTCAGAGCACATAAAACATAAGAAGACATTATTTAAAATCCCAGAATATATTGCATACATTACAGTATATTGTGTACTGAAATGTTATACATACATACAAATATAAATACAGTGTAATGGTCTTGTTGGTGTAATAAACTCGTGGCCATGACGACGCAGGTAATCACTTCAGGCCATGTGCATTCGTTGTACAACAGTGACTTTACAGACGAGGGACTGACTATATCATGAAAATATATGATAACCACCGTAATCATTATCATTATTGTCAAACACACAGAAAACACCTACATGTAGTCTTTGATCAGAGGCTGAACCCGACATCAGACACAACACAAGTCTAAAGCTATTCTGAGAAATTCCTAGATTTCAGTTACACATGATGTTTTTTTTACTTTCTAAGATTTCGTTTTATGATGAAAACAAGTTACAAAAGAAATGGTCATAGAACCAACCACCAGAACACCACACTGATACAGCATAGCTAACATTCACTCCTCCAGAATAAGCTGGATCATGGGACATTTTGGCCTGTAATGTCCCTCGGAGTCATAACAGTTCCCTTTATCTCCTTCATCTTTGGCTTCCTCCTTCTCTCTTTCACCTCTGTTGTTTGTGATCACGGTGTCAGTAATACCCATTTTCCACCAAATTAGCTCTGGTTCTTGATCCAGTTCCGTTCAGGATTCCTGGAACCCTGGTGCTGTCGAGCAAACCAGCACGTGTTTCCACCAGTGTTGAGTGGAAGCTTTGTATTCAAAGATGGGTCATCGACAGAGGGCGATGCACAGTGCCCAACAGATGTAAACAGTAGTAACAAGATGGCGGATCCCAGTGGTTACACGCAAGCTTTTTATCCAAAAAACAAGCAAGGATCAACTACTAATAAGAAGAAGACTATCACCAGCAGGACTCCATCTACTTTTTCCATCCTGTAGAGTATGACACCAACTTTTCAGGTTCTGAACCAAATTATTTTTGGTCAAAATGCTCAGAGTGGTTCAAAATTAAGTGTGGAAACCAGAACAAAACATGCTCCATGTTGGTGGAAAAGGGGTATGAAATGTCTTCTTTCCTTAACAAGATATCTACTGATGAGTGACGATGTTTATTAGGACAGTACCTCCTCATAAACAGATGGGATCCACTGTACTTTGGATATGTTAACTTGTATTTCGGGTCAGAATGCATTTCTTTCCTGGACAGCATTTTGGAAAACACTCACAAACATAATCAAGAATGGAGAGAGGTTGGGGCGCTGGTGGCTTAGTGGTAGAGCAGGCGCCCCATGTACAAGGCTGTTGCCGCAGCGGCCCGGGTTCAACTCCAGCCTGTGGCCCCTTGCTGCATGTCACTCCCTCTCTCTCTCCCCCCCTTCATGCTTGTCTGTCCTATACATTAAAGGCTAAAAACCCCAAAAAATATCTTAAAAGAATGGAGAGAGGTTACAACATTTTCAACAAGGCTGAAATCAAAAATACTGAGCATATATGCATGATAAACACAGGTATTACACTAAGATTATGTATGGCGAATTCAACAGTGTCCCAACGTTACATAATTTAAGGCACTCCATTATAATACATAGTGTGGAGTCTGTTTGACTGCTAACAATAGTGGAGGATTCTTACCCACGCTACTCGTCAAAGAGGATGAATAAATACAATAGAATCGTGATACGGTTTTAAATAAATAAATACAGCCGGGCTATAATCTAGAAACTATACACGTGTTACTCATCCAAGACACTGACAGGAAAACTGTGTATTTTTTTGTTTGTTTTTTTACAACCTTGGTCTTATTTGTGTGGGCGTAGCCATCAGTTGATGATGACGTAGAACATTTTCAAGATGAGAAAATGCATTAACCAACTTGTCCATTATAATCATGTGTTGCTCAAATTACCTTAACCTAGGAGTCATCATAACAATCTCATGATGTGTCAGCTAATCCAGCAACAGAAAGGTGATTCCTATAAGCTAAATGAAGAAGTAGCTCTGCAATTACATCTGTCCCTTCGCTAAGTCCCTCCCCTGCACACAGACAGGCCAATCATAATGTAGCATCAGGCCAGCTCAGACCAGGGTCCGACAACAACACAGCTGTGCTCCATAGACTGCAATCGTTTCAGATTTCCTTCATTTTCAGGCTGGTTTTGTGGATTTGGAGCTAAATGTTGTGCCTGGGGCACGTCGTGTTTTAATGATACTCGTTACCTGGAGAGGTTGGAAAAAGATTTTTGGTTTTGGAACAGGGAAGAAACATATATCTTTTTCCTCTAACCCTGAAAAGTGTAGGGTTAGCTAGCTAGCTACTGAAGATATAGCCTACTGAATGTATACACATGCTGCTTTTGCTTTTTAATGATTGTAACAGTGAAACAAAGGCCGACCCTGCTGCACAGGAACCAGTGAAGGGAAGCAGGGAAACTTTGCTGATATTCAACCAGCTGTGTGTCATCACAGTGTGCACAGATGAACGTTGTTTGACTTCCGGAGATCCCTGCTTGTCCAGCGGTAGAGGTCCAGGTGCTGGCAGCGGCACGGGGGTGAAGCCAAACACCGTTCAGCTGCACACACTGCGATGCCACACAGCTGGTTGAATATCAGCAAAGTTTCCCTTTATATTCATTGTCTTCTGTGGCGATCAGCAGTGATGTGGTGGTTCACTTTTACACTGTGATCTGTAGCCTATAGTTTGGCTTTAGCTTCTAACTATCTTTGTCTTTTTAACCTGTTGTTGCTGCTGAGTCAGTTTGACATCCTGGATATATCCTTCAAACACAGACTGTAGATCCCTCTGTCTGCTTCTCTCTGGAATCACTGTTTCATTTTCCCAAAAATATAATAATATTTCATCAGGGAGTGCAGTTAGTTACAGTGTGGGTTCCATGCTTACTGCGACAGCTTGCCGGACCATTACAAAGGGGCAGGGCTTAGCAAAGGGTCAATTAACAGTCCTTGTTATATGAACATTTGGATTTTGACATTTAACTTTTCTCTTTACCTTATTCATCAAATTGTACTGCTTTAAACCTGTCTAATGATGCGTTCACATGGAATCAGGCAGATGGCAGATGTAAAACAGCACCGGAAAAACAAAATAAACAGTCTGACAAAATGGCAGGATGGTAAAACACATCATCCACAATGATATGTTGCGTTGGTGATGCTGTGTTGTTTACAAGGAATAGAAAAAATTACACTGAATAAATGTATTTTGTGTTTATTTTATACTAGTAACTTGCAGATTTCCTGTGTTTTCACCTTCTGTGAAGAAGCTACCCAACTCTTGGTTGTAAATTCCATCACAGAGGACAGCAGAATGTTAAAAATGTCTAACTTTGAACTGCAATGATGTCTACCATCACCACTGGTGATATTCTCTGGCAGCATCACCTAATTCTAATGTCCTGCTCTTGTTCACTAAAATAATATAGTTCGCTGTCTCCCTGATGTCATGTGAAAGCAGCATAAGATGTTTTTTGGCCCCAGAAGACACTGTTTTAAAGTTTTGTGGCCAAAAATATCAACTGTGGAGCTGATGTGCAAAATGTTATGAGCAATAGGATTAACAAAATAAAGAAAATAAGACCAAAATTATAAAAAAAATCCTTTAAACATACATATACTGCTGAATTATGACAATGAAGGATTTCTGTTTCTATGCAACTAAAAGTCCAAAACTTGAAATATGCTGACGTACAATCCTGAACATGAATCAATTCTTCAGCTTTTCGGTTATTTTCAAAGTGTCATTTTCAAATTAGACACAAAAGAGGTAAGTACAGTACATCCTGTGTAGCCTTATAAAATATTTTTAACTAGGCGCAAACATTTTTATCTCATTGATCCCATTAGACCATTGTTTGAGGGAAATCAAGGCAGTTAATTTCCTTGATATTGTCTTATTTTTCTCCTGCTTTGTGGCAAAGTCTCTCCTTCTGAATTGTGTCCTTGTAGAGTTATTTCCCCTTGTCAGTCTGCCAGATTCCATTGGCTTTATTGAGCGAGGTGTTGCTGCCCTCTTTGCTGTCTGTTTCAGTCTTCATGGCTTGTTCAACAGCATCTGCCAAGGGCAACTTGTCCTCTGCCTCCGTCTCTCTGTGGTAGAAGTAATTGAAGTTTGATACAATGACAGGAACAGGCAAAGCAATGGTCAACACACCTGCAATGGCACACAATGTGCCGACCATTTTACCCCCCATGGTGATGGGACACATGTCCCCGTAGCCTACAGTGGTCATGGTAACCACAGCCCACCAGAAGCCATCAGGTATGCTGACAAACTGCGTGTTAGGCTCGTCTACCTCTGCAAAGTAGATAGCGCTGGAGAAGAGGATGACTCCGATGAAGAGGAAAAAGATGAGCAAGCCGAGCTCGCGCATGCTGGCCTTCAGAGTCTGTCCCAGGATCTGCAGCCCCTTGGAGTGACGAGAGAGTTTGAATATACGGAACACCCTGACCAGACGGATGATACGCAGAATGGCCAAAGACATGTTCTGTCCTGAGCTCTCTTGTGGCGTCGTGACCAGTTCTGTAACCACGGTAACAAAATAAGGGATGATGGATATAACGTCAATGATGTTCATGAGGTTGTGGAAAAATTCCTTTTTGCTAGGACAGACCAGAAACCTCACACACAGCTCAAAGAAGAACCAAGCAATGCAGGCAGTCTCGATGAAGAAGAAGGGATCAGAGAAAGTTGTGGGCTTTGCAGCAGATGGAGCCACAGAACTGTAAAATCTAGACTGGTTGAAAGGCTTTATCGCTGTGGGCACAATTGGGTCGGTGTCATCTCTGAATTCTGGCAGCGTTTCCATACAGAAAATAATGATGGATATGACAATGACAAAAACAGACACCAGTGCTACACCTCGGGCCGCATTTGAGCTCTCTGGGTACTCAAACAGCAGCCAGAATTGCCTGTACACATCATTATTAGGTAGAGGGATATCGACATCCTTTATGAATCCTTCATCTTCTCTGAACTGCTCCATGGCCTCACTTCCAAGTTCATAGAACACAATTTCATCTGCAAACACATCCAGGGGAACGTTAGCTGGACGTCTGATCTTACCCCCTGACTGGTAGTAATACAAGATGCCGTCAAAGCTGGGCCGGTTCCGATCGAAGAAGTACTCGTTCCTCATCGGATCGAAGTAGTCCATCCTCTTCAAAGGGTCTCCTAGCAGTGTCTCAGGAAACTGGTCCAAAGTTTTGAGCTGCGTTTCAAAACGTAGGCCTGCGATGTTGATGATGACTTTCTGGTCTCCGTCATCCAGGCCTCGTTTATCTACAAACAGATCCTCGCAGCACTCCTTAGCGAGCCGGCTGAAGATCGTCTCACTCTCCTTCGTGCCCTCACTGTTTAGCAGCAGTTTCCAGTTGGAGATCATACTGGTGCAGCTGCTGCGCCCCTGTCTGCTCGGAGTTGGCATGGTTGGGGACTGGGGTACTCCGAGTGTCTGTGTCTGCATGTGTGAAATGGGCGAAGATGAGGTGGATTCCCACATGCGGGAGGGCACGGGCGTAGAGGGGAGCTGAGAGCCTCGGATAAGGTAGTTGCTGCATGGGCTGCTGTGCTCTGGGGGCATGTCCACCGTGAGAGCTGTGGTCTCATCAGCGTAGGTGTCCACCTCATCAAGATCCCCGTCGAGCTCATCCAGGCTCTCAAAGTCTACCAGGGCCACCTCCATGGCTGCGGTTCAGCCAGTGCAAAGCCTTGCGACCCCAGGATAAGACAATCACACACACAGACGCAAGTGCACAGATGGGAGGCTCAGTCACCACAATCAGCAGCAAAGCACCAGAACATCCAGTCTTCAGCAGCAGCAGCGCTTAAAGTCACAGGACAAACTGAAATTGCCCTCTATTCTTTATTTCCTCCAACACCTGTAGAGTGAGAAACAAAGAGAGAGAGAAAGAGGGTCAGTGTGTTTCTGTCAATGGTTAAGGGTTTGTTTTGTGTTAATTGCGATCATGTGACGGGAATATGACGTTGGAAAGCACATGTTCGATCATGACTCCTTGTTTCTTAGATACCCATCTCTCTGGAAACCAGCACAGAGAGAAAGACGAGTGAGAAAGGGAGAGGGGAGGAGGAAGAGGAGCAAGAGGGTAAGGCTGCTCAATGATGGAAAGAAAGAATGACAGAAAGGGGGATTATAAATATTTGAATCTTTCTGAGAGAAAGCCAAACTTCATGCTACTTCTTTCCACAGTTATGGAAAAACTACTGTTATTGTGGAGGCACTGTGATGAGTCATGTAACTGTGAAAAAGGAAAACAAACATAAAACAACACAGTAACTAATGGAAATTAAAATATCCCTTTACCAAGTTGCTGGCATAAACGTGTGATACTTCCTGTCCAAATGATGACACTAGCTCTTTTAACTCTTAATCTACTGCACATATCTCTAATTAATGAGCTCATACACTCTGGCATACATGCAGACTTGACATGAACAAAATCACAAACATAACACCTGCTCAAGGGAAAGGGACTCTAGGCACGGCATCCTGTAATGACCCCGATGTAGGCTGTAGAAGGAGAGAGCAGTGCACGGTAACTGGGGCTATGCATACATTAGTGCATAATTAACTGGCTGTACAGTGATAGCAGGGGCCGAGCTTCCTCCAGTCACCAGGGTTCACATTTAAACTGCACTGTGCCATGTTATTTCTTCTAGAAATCAACTCTGCTCCCACCGTGCCACGTGCATCTGCATTCATATTCACCCGAGGTAGCGTGACTCTTCATCAGCATGAAGATTACATTTAATAGTAAGCTGCTCTTTGAGGTGTGCATCGATTTGTCTGAGTGCATTTGTGAGTGCAGTCTGTGTGCAGTGGGCTTGTGCTGAACATGCGTGTGTATGTGTGTGTGACCGAGCGCTGACGCCTGATGCAGATGTTTAATTAAAGACTCCAGAGATGAGTCACTATCTAAAACCAGTGCCAGTGATAGCAATCCTGCTGGGAGAGGGAGGGAGGGAGGGAGAGGCAGACAGAGAGAGAGGAGAGAGAGATGGGCCGGCTGAGTGAACAAGGAGGATGACATGAAAATTGTCGGGAAGACGGATGTGGGTGGTAGGACTGGGTGGGATGAGGACTGAACGCAAGAGAGGGAGAGGAAAGTGACAATGAGAGAGAATGGGAGTTGATAGGTGGGTGGATGGATAGACAGGATGATGAGAGAGCAGCCCTGACAGGGAAAGAGGGGCGGTCTGTCAAGAGGAGCAGAGGAAACAGATGACGATGAGGGGTGAAAGACACAAAACTGTAACGGATTGTGCATACAGGATGACGGCTAATCCAGAACTGGTTAAGTTGTCTGATAAGAAAATGTTGGAAAAAGAATCAGTTGGAGGGTGGGACTGCAACATTTGCACATATCATCCTGAGACCCGAACTTTTGTTTGGTATGCATTTTTAATTTCTCCTAGCTATTTGGGATCAGCAGGACATGAGAAGTTTAAAAAACTAACATTGTTGACGATAAGTCCCAATGTCCTCAAACAAGACGATAATAAAGTCCCAATGCCTCAACGAACTTCTGAGAAATTTCCAATGTCTTTAAACGAGTACTTTCTAATTATCAGTGTCATAGCTTGCTACTGTTGCTAAATTTTGTAAAGTTTGTACAGCATATCAAACTACATACGTTATTAATCATAAATAAACAAGTTCCAACCATTAAATCTGATCAGGTTTTGTACCTTGTCCACTTTTGTGTCGGGGTCGGCTGCAGACTGACTTGGCAGAGGTGGCTGCCATCTTGTTTTTACATGGATTAGTGTATTGTGCCCTTACTACCACTAGATGGCACAAAAAAGTGTCCACAAATGAGGACAACAGGTCTACATGAAGCAGAATAAGTATAAGGTCCAGTAAATCCAAAATGTAATGTCATCATATGAGGTCATAGGATCTCAGATATAATAAAATCCATATAAAAATGAAATCAATCAAATCTCTTTTAAACAACACACTCAGAAAACTCTAATTTGACCCTTTGAGCAGCCCGAACTTTCACATGATCCCAAATTAGAAGCTGCAGCTGCTTTTGGATCAATACCTGGAAATTAGCAATATTACTCTGCTTGAGCAATTCCTAATGATTTTCCAATAAATCAATACACCATCAATGTTTAATTTTGCTTAATGTAACAAAGAACTGCCAACCCTTAAATGTCTGAAAGTAATGGTAAGACTTATGACTGCTTTGACTCTCCAAAAAGACAAATGGCTTCCAGAACAGATCAATATGGTCGCACTGATTCAGCTATTTACCTCTGATTACAGCAGTGCCAAAGATCTGTTGAGAGTATAGGTTAAAATTCTCTTAAAAACAGAGTGAAATCTGACTCAAGACATGTGAAATGTGATCTCTGGGATAGGAATTTAATATCAAAAGCTGCAATGCAAAATCTGCTCTCTGCACTCTTTCTGTTAAACCATGAAATAAAATAGAAACTTGAGTATAAACTGCCAAGACAAGCTAATAGACAGAGTCACAAGCAAGCAACACATACCTTACCTTCCTGGGCATAAGGCCTACAGACCATGTGTGTACAATCTGCTGTAAAAAGCAAAAAACAAAAACAAGAGAGGGAGAAGAAGGTCCTCTACAAGTTCTGTCACTGCTGCAGCTTTGTGCTACCTCCTCAATTGACATCAGGATGACTAATCTATCACAGCCTACATTGGGTAACCTTATGCTGGAGTAGAAACTAGAGCTGTGGCGAAGGCCACATTCATTCACACACACACACACACACACACACACACACACACACACAAACACATGCACACACAGGCCACAGAAAAACAGAAAAGCAGCAGAAAAAGAAAAATCTGTCAATACTGTGTAACCGATATCTTTTGATCACACACTCACTGTGTGAGTGTGTATGTGTGTGTAGGTGGCCATGGCCATGTGTGCCATAAGCAACCCTGCCTCCTACAAATTACATTTGTATGTTACTAAATTGCATTCATGACGACGCAGTGGTGGCAATGTAACTGCGCCCTGGACTGTGTTCAGAGACGTTTCTTTGAGATGATGAAATGCTACATTTATGTGCTGCGCTGGATTCATACAAAGTGCAGGACTGTGACACCAGAGTCTGGGTTGTCGTCCAGGCTCCTGTCTGGCTCCTGTCTTTGGTTGGGTTAAGGCAAGAAAAGCAGTTTGGTTACAGGTTCAATGTGTAGGATTTAGGAGGATACGTTGGTAAAAATGGAATATAATGTAATAAGTGTGTCTTCTTTAGTGTATTATCACCTGAAAAAATAAGAATTATTGTGTTTTTGTTACCTTAGAATGAGCCTCTTATATCTACATGGGGAGCAGGTCCTCATCCATGGAGATTAACATGTCGCACCACCATGTTACATTGCCATGTTTCTATAGTAGCCCAGAACGGACAAGCCAAACACTGGGTCTAGATAGGGCTATTTGCATTTTCACATCGACCAATGTAGTTAGCAGCCCCTCCGCAAAGAGCACTGTCTGAACTGCTTTTATTCAATGTTTTTACAGGTTTAAACCAACGGAACTGTTTATTTTGGAGACGAAGAGACCGTTACAGATAATTCGGCTCCCTGTACAAACCTCCAGAACATCTGGATCTTATGTTATCACGGAAAAGGTGCACGAGCATTAGCTGTTGCTAGGCTAGTCTTCGGTCTCTGATATGCCGAACAGTGTCGTAGACACACTTATATATAACGTGAAGCAACTTTATTCAGTGTTTTTACCGGTTTAAATCACCGGATCTGTTTGTTCTGGAGAAGAGGAGGTATGGATAACTCAGCTCCCGCTTAAAACCTTCTGAACATCCATCCATTTTCATCTGCTTATCCAGGGCTGGGTCACGGGGGCAGCAGGCCAAGCAAAGCACTTCAGATGTCCCTCTCCCCAGCAAGGCTTTCCAGCTCCTCCTGGGGGACCCCAAGGTGTTCCCAGGCCAGACGAGATATGTAATCCCTCCAGCTTGTTCTGGGTCTGCCCTGGGGCCTCCTACCAGAGGGACGTCCCCTGAACACCTCTAATGGGAGGCGCCCAGGAGGCATCCTGATCAGATGCCCAAACCACCTCAAATGACCCCTTTCAACGCGAGGGAGCATCGGCTCTACTCCAAATGTCAGTAAACATTTCACTCATATGTCCAGCCACAACATTTTTGCAACTTGCCAGGTATGTTAACTGTAAACATTGTATCATTATGTTAATAGAAAATGTATTTCTCCCTGCATTATGTTTCCCTCAAAAACATATTTGCTGTTTGAAATGAGTTGTATATCAGCCTAATGTCTAGGAGGCAGGTCTGGCAATAAGCCATCTCAGTGATGTGGGTGAGGTGCTCAAGACCTTCTGGACTGGAACGGAGCAGTTAGATCCTCAGATTTCTTTATGCTTGACTTACTCACCCAACACACACACACACGGGCCGTATCCATATCTGACTTATTTGCACTTTCACAATAAATAATTGATGTTTAACGACTCCATTAACACATTAACATGTTCAACACGACTGGGAAGGAAGAATGATGGGAGAGTGACATGGCCAGGAGGATTAAAGCTCCCTTCCTCACCTCACACAGCTTTCCACCTTTCACTTTCAACTCATCACTCAGAGCTCCGATATTATCAGCGCCGTTAACTCTTCTTTACCTATAAGCTCCTTCTAAGCTGTACGCCTTGTGAACATGCATTTTTAATGAGGTTCAATCTAAAATCTTCTATTCTTAGAGCAGGGAAAAAAGGAGAAATTTAATCTCGTATGACCCCCCCACCCCCTCCAAGCATTTTGTGGCAGCCGCAGAGGACATAAATGATCTTATGTCAAATTCCTCGGAGCGACACTTAGACGCACTCCACCA